TTCGAACTGCCGTCCATCATCACTAGACCCATTTCGCCACTGTGCACTCCATGCTCACCGGCGAAGACATTTCCGTAGCCCGCCGGTAAGTTTTTCAGGCTGCAAGATGGTTGTGACGATGGAGAGAGTTTGGACGGAGTGTTCCCACTGCCATTCCGTACCGTCGTCCATGTTGAGCTGCTCAATCCGTCGCCGTCAAGACTCAAAACCATGCCATCATCTTCACCATCGCCGGCCCATCAACCACCAGCCATCTCCATCGCTTCGAACCTGCCGTCCATCATCACCATAGACCCACTTCGCCGGCGTGCACTCCATGCTAACCTGTGAAGACAATTCTGCCGGTAAGTTTGCCGGACACGTTAACCGTCCACTCATGGTCATAGCCTCCTGTTCTCGCCGTTCCATGCCGCCTTGCAATCACGTCATCCATCATCACTAACGCCGGAACAAACCTACCCCAATTCGGCGATTGCCAGCAGCCACCCATCACCGCTCGCCTCTGCGGACAAACCCACCTCTTACTGGTGTATTCCTTGGCTGCTGTTCCTTAAATTTCAGCGTCATCAGTGCCGACATTTCTAGCTTCCCGCCGAGCAGCTCATTCCACCAATAAACTCTGCCAATAGGATTCAGTTAGTGTTTTGGGGACATTTTGGTCATTTCAGATGGGTCTGTTGGGATAGTTAAGTAATTTTTATATATGAAATAAAATAAGTACAAAATCAAAAGAGTTTTATAGCCATTTTACACCTAAAAGTAATTCTGACATTACTCAAAATGTCAATTTGGAGTGTAAGTGAAATATTAAATCACTTTTTCAAATATAACTGAAAATTGAAATCAAAATTTTCATATAGGTGTAAAATAACCTAACCTTAAAAGAGTTTGAGAAAAGGCCCTTTACACACTTGTAACCGAAGTATCACAACTTTTAAAACAAGGAATGACTTTTTAAGGTGTTTTGAGGTTTCAGTAAGTTCCCAAAATAGGGCCAATATCTATAGAGCCCATACCCAATTGGAAAAACGCATTTCAAAGTGGAGTAATTGTAGTAAAACTGGGCCTATTGACCCCCTTGGCTTATGTAAGATGATAAAGAAAACACAATTTTTTTGTATTTCTTGTAGACCAACGAGTTGAATTGGTAGGATATTTATCTTAATCTTGCTACAATTTAATATTATTATTATTATACAAATAAAGAAAAAATTATAATAACAAATCTTAAAAATTATCTCGGGTGAATAAAAACTCGTTCTTGGTGTCTCGAAAAATAAAAATTTAACCTTTGTGTCATATACATGCACCTGACCACCTAAAGAGAATAGTTGTAAGAGACAAATAAGATGGTAGAGTACCTGGAAGATTCGCTAACCGTGGTTCAGTGTTGTGGCCAATACACACTACTACTGCCTCGAACATATCCACTGAACTCAACCCATTCGTCCTCGACTCAACCACCCATTCATCATACCTTGACTCAACTCGGACGACTTCAGTATCAAACCGAATCAACTCAGTGAGTCCAAACTCCATCGCAAAATCATTCAAGAACCCCAGAACCTCCTCATGCCCCGGATAATTCCTGGGGTCCCCATTTTTCCTAGCAGTAAACGGAGAGTCCGAGAAACCCATTACGTGGCGAGGGAGATTGGTCCGGAGTGAATGCTACGCACTGCTGTGAATGATCTCTCTGTTCGGGTCGAGACCGAGTGGGTCGGACTCGACTCGAGGGTCGTAGACCCATGTTCCACCCAGTTGGCCTCCTTTTTCATAGACGACTATTTGGTGGCCTTCTCTTTGTAATTCACGGGCCGAGATCAGACGGGCAGTACCGGCTCCGATCACCGGCACTTTCACAGACCGTGCCATCTCTGTTACTCTCTGTCTATGTGTTTGTCTTTGTTTTTATAAAGTGGGTCGTTAGTTGTCTCTATATATACGCACAGACAAAGACAAACCATTTTCTAAAAAGTAGTAGTTTGGCGAACCTTTTTCCAAAAATAATAATTCAACCGTCTCAAATTAAATATTCATATTTTTATTTTTGTCTGTTTCAAAGTAAATATTTCATTTAAGAATTAAAATAATATATATATTTTTGATAACATAATTTATTTAATCTCCCTTACATTAAATTTATAAAAAATAAATTATCACATTATATAAACCTATTGTAAATATATTTGATAATTCAATTATTTACTATCAATATAATAAATAAAAAAATTAAGATTCACCATCTTAAAAAAAAATATTCACATAAATTACTTGTGATTCAATTCAATTAAAACAAGTGATCAGATTTTCTTTTTTTAAACTCCTTTGACCAATGGTATCAGATGAATATTGTCCATAAATTACTCATATATTTGGTGGTGTGGTGACTTTTACAAGTGTTGTAGTGCAGTTCAATGGCTACAGTGCATTAGCCAAGGGACTCTCATCATAACTTTGTCCTATTCATAATATACCTAAACAATGAAGAACGTGCAACCTTAAACACACACACACACACACACACACACACACAAACATACATTGAAAAAGCAACACCTTAAATAAATAAGGGTGTGTTTAGTAACCCAAAATATTTTTTTTTTTTTTTTTTTGTCACTTTTTAAAAAGGAGAAACAAATACAAAAATTATGCTTAGTAATTTGTTTTTATTTCCTCTTAATGAAAAACATTTCTTATTTTTATGAAAGAAAGAGAAAACATCAAAATGATGTTTTCTTGTTTTTTCACTGTAGCAGAGGAAACGTTTTCATCACTGTTTCTCTTGTTTTTTAAGTAACAACTGACATTACTTTTCAATTAATACACAACCATTGACATTACTCCATTAGTACTTTTATATTCTATATATATACATTATACAAAATCTATTTTTATATTCTATATATATACATTATACAACTGTATGCCCTGTAATTTTATTTTTTATTTTTCTAATTGTTATACATGTATTGGTTGTGATTTGTTTTCAGATTTTTTTGTTAATATATATGTATATATAAAATCTATTTTTATATTCTATATATATATATTATACAATTGTACGTTTATCTTGCCCTATATATATATATATTCCTTTTTAGATTATGTCTTTTATTGTGATTGAAAGTTGGATTTTGATAGATGGATGAAAAAATAAATTAAAAAAGTTTTCCAAAAATTTTTTTTTTTTGTAACAAATGTTTTAGTAAACACTGTTTTTTGTTTTTTGTTATTAAAATTGTGGCAACAATAAAGGTTACTAAAAGTTATTTTTGTTTTTTATTTTTACTTTGAAAAATAAAATTATGTTTCTGTTTCTTTGCGACTGCAAAAATAAAAAATGAAAACGTTACTAAATGCATCCTAAGCCATACGAACAAAGACAAACATAAAGAAAGAGAGGGGAAGAAGTTGTAATTTGATAAATGAGAATGTCTGTGTCAAATATCTAAAACGATGTCAAAGAACTTTGGACGGATCACATGGTAATTTGTTTAAACTTAATATTAAAAATTATTAAAGGCCCATAAACAAGAATTTAAAAAATTTTAGGGGGTGCAATGTAAGTAGTTCTTTTTAGGATTAAATGCATTAAACCCCCTTAATTATGGACTGAGTGCAATAAACCCTCCTAAATTAAAAATAACCCCCTAGACTAATAATTCGTTGCATTCAAGTACTCAATGTAAACAATCGTTAACAGAAAAATCAAATTACTATTTAGCCCTTGTTTGGCAATAAAAAATTCTACAGAACTGAGAAGTGACACCTAGCCTATATATATATATATATATATGCATTTGGGTCAAACCAATATAAGCCAGGCTTCTTCAACTTTTTCCTTCTCTCGGCTTTTCTCTCTCTACAATTGCTACTTTGTCCATCCCTTCAGACAGGTAGAAAAAAATATGATAACAAAATTGTTTGTTTAATTGGGACAAAACAGGGACATGATTGATGAATCAAACACAGACAAAAAGAAAAGTTTCATGAAACCCAACAGCAGTACCAAACCACTCAAAAATGAAGAGCCGGTGATTTTCTTCACTACCATTCTCTTCTCACTCCTCTTCATTCTCACCGGAAAATCAAACCTCGTCGCAAACAAAACGGTGCTTCTCGCTCTCCACGTCACCGTCGATGGTCGACCCCTCCTAAGCGACGCTACTGGCCGGTGTGAGCTGCCAGTCCAGCATCATCACCGAGCTCGTTCTCCCTAGCATGGGATTCTCCGGCCAAATCTCGCCATACCCCCTCGAAAATCTGACCCTTTTGTGAAATCAAAATTTTGAAACTCGAATCTTAGTTTCTAGGCCTTGAATCACTTTAAACCATTAATCTTTGGGTGATCACCTAATCGTTTTCATGGTCGGTGCCATGACACCGATGAATTTTTCTAGATATGGGTTGGCGTTTTTGGGTGTTGCTATATTATAATCATTAGAAGTTGCAGGCTTCGATGAGAAAGGATGGAAGAAGCCGGCTCAGCAGGTTGAGGTCATAAGGGTATATTTGAGATTACAAATTTTCCCCTGTGCACATGGGTCACGTGTCCGGCGTTGAATATTGGATGAACAACTAACGGAATTTTATTTTTTGCAACGAACTAGTTCAAGGGGTTAAGTGTCTTTCCCAAAGTCTAGGGGGATTTTTTGAGAAAGAGAAAAAAACTCGAGGGATTTAGTGTACTTAACCCTACTTTTTAAAACACACTATTAATTATTATTATTAGGGACATATAATTAAAAATATATATATAAGAAATCAACAGCTAGCGTGAAGAGTGTGCAATGTCCCTAATTATTATTATTAGGGACATATCATATTTTATTTTTTAATGGAATGTGTTTCAGGTACATGTAATTGTTATTTTTTATTTTATTTTATATTTTATCAATTTTAATTCCAAAGTTCTAATTATATGCAACCAAACATATACTTTATTTTTTTTATTCCGTTTGCAGTTTATAAAGATTGCATTCTTTTTGCAACTTGCATAATGGAAACCTTATTGTTCAACAACTATGAAAGTGACATTTCCAAGGAAACGCATTTATTTGGCAAAAGCTTATTGTGGTAAAAATTCCATACAAAAACATGTTTGCAAACGAATGAAAATGCAGTAAAAATGTGTTATGCTGTGCACAGCAATTAAAAATCTTGGCTGCTTATCCAGTTATCGATATCCCATTCGTCCCTGAATACCTCCAATTGAGAACTACAAACAAACTTCATATGCTGCGTGTATATCCTTTTTACCTTCTCCGGAGGAGGTATTCCCACTTGAGCAGCCAGCCAGTCCGTGTACTCAAACTGCCATCAAACCATGAAATCAAAGAAATTATATATATATATATATATATATAGGCATCAATGTCTATAATAAATTTTCTGTACTTGTATGTATATAAAATGAAAAATGAGATGAAAACCTGATTTGGATAAATTTGATGGGTATAGTGCTTGGGGATCCCGGATTCTTCCATATGCCGGTAAAATTTTTCAACATCAGCGAGCATCTCCTCTTTGGATGGCAGAGACACCTTACCGGATAAAACATGCGCTATCCACTTGGATTGTAACTCCATCATATGAATTGTACCGATCTAATTGTAAAATAAAATTCCGGTACATAATTCACCATGAATTTCATAGTAGGTTGGCTAATAACAACAATAACAAGAGTAACAACTGACCATAAAAGGTATTCCAACAAAGGAGAGCCAGGGACCAAGCTGGGGTGGGAAGATATGCTTGTAAAGAGGTCCTACTCGGTTGTCATCATCAATGGTCACAATTCCATTTGTGTTAAGAAATGGGAAATGGTACTTGTACCTATATACAAACATATACGAATCATGCATGTACAAGTTTATGTTCAAGAAAACACAAGAAAACAAAAAAAACTAATTTAGAATCGATAAATACCCAGTACAGTGAAAAATGACATCTGCTTTAACAGAACATCCGTCTTCAAAGGCTACTGTACCATCTTCATTAACATAATTAATCTGTAACACGATTAAAATTCATTATGTTATATCTTGAAATGCTTTTATTGAAAAAAAAAAAACAAGATACGCATGATTTTATAACATGATGTTATTATAGATTTCAAGTACTTGTTATCTGCGAAGGGTATTCTATAAACATGATCCTTAATCCTCTGTTGTGGTATCTTAGTGTTGTAGCATTTTTTAAAACACTTACACCTATTTTCAACAAATTTATTCTACATTTTAACGCACTTACATGTGCTGAAAACAGAAGGAAGTGCGTTGAAAAACGCAAAGGCGTTATCCGGGCACTATAAACATATGTATGTACATATTAAATACATACCTTTGAATGTTGCCATATGTTGTCATAACCGTCTAATTTTGAAAATTTAACATCTGGATGTCTCGAAGAAAGATGAACTTCTTTGGCAACTGTAGCAATATCTCTGGATATACCAAACGCACTAGGCCCAGCTCCAACCAGAACCACAATCTGTAAGTTGGAATTTTTTAGAAAGTACTTGCATCAATTAAATAGAATTACAAGTCTAAGAAATCTATTTGGAGTGCTTGCTAATTCCATTTACATCATCATCAATGGGGTCAGCTATGTGAATAATCTCTCTCCAACCAGGCACAAACTTATGTGGTGTTCAATTTGGAAAACTTAATTGTATCGGTTGTATTAGTGGTTTGGTATCACCTAACTGAAATCATGGATTTGATGGAGAGAGATATTTTTACTTATGTAACATTATACAATTGGTTGATGGCACAGTTAACGAAGTATTCAAGGTGCAGGGAAGTATTGAATATTCAAGTTTGAAATTTTAAACTCTAAGAATATATAGAGAAAGATGTGAAATATATTGTTTGAAAAAAAAAAAAAAAAAAATTTATTTTGGAACAGTCCAAAAAAGAAAGATGGACACTTTCTTTTGGAACGAAAGGAGTACTATTCACTTAACAAATTGCGGTCCATCAAATTTCATATTTTCTATTCATATCATGCTTGGTTAAAATTTAAAATGTACCTATACAACTCTCCTGTGATGTGCAACAAAAATGGTATATCTTTGAAGTAAACCATCTTTGGGGGTATCAAAGACACTCAAAAGGTTCTGCTTTTTGAGTGGTAGTTACCATGGCCTCACATCTCCTTTGCACATCTTCCCCATAGAAGCAACTTATTCAGCTGCCTTACAAAGTCGAAAGTCGAGATTTCAAATTTCGACAAAGTGTGGATGTGTATTTCTTGTCCAAATATTAAAAAATAAAAAATAAAAAATTGGGCTGCATTTTTAATTTCCAAAAGCTCCACTTCCACGTCATACGTCATAGTACATTACCAAATTTATGAAAAAACCCGATTTGAAGTCACCATTTCATAGTTAAAGGTTCTTATTGGGGCAAATTTCTGAAAAAATAACTACAAAATTTGCTACAAGCTAAAAGTAATTAACAATGAATCAAAATATACTGTTGAATGACCAAATTGCCCTCCATATACCTTCATATTTTCTTTCCATATCAAAACTAAAAAGTGCTCTGTATTTTGAGTTGGCAGTTACTTCCATTATTTCATAGTTGAAGGTAATTTAATTTTTCCACGAATATTGAAACCACAAAGCATGGGAATAGCAGAGTAACATACCTGATTCCGAAATGGTTCAGGAACACGGTAATTGTGACTATGTACTTGCTTTCCTGACCATTTCTCAATGCCTGCATACATATTAAAATCATATTGCTCATACAACTTAAATTATATATAAGCATTTTAAACTAAATGGAAAATTTATCTATTCATACTAATATAATGAATATAAAATAAAAAAATAAATTTTTTTTTTTGTCTCTCTTAGATTTCTCACCTTAATTTTCTATCTGCATTACTAACTAATACATCTTCAAATACCATCTCGGAGCTCAAACCACTTTTTCTTGGCTCGATGACTCACTCTAGTTCCCTCGAGTCAACCCTCGAAACCCAGGCGACTTCATTGTTGTCCATTTCCATTTTTGAAACGAAAACGCTTTAAAAGCCCAACACTCCAAACATCCCAACCATGAAAATATGAAATGCTTTCGCGTGGTGGACAATGCTATTTAAGCATATCTTGCTTGCCGTACAAAGTCTTCTCAGCTACAAGATGCACGTTCATCTCGTAGCTGAGAAGCCTTCCGTCTCTGATTTCGACCAAGAAGATCAGTTCACTTATTATTTTTCATACAAATATGAAATTTTATTTTAGATGAAGTCGACTTGGTCACTTGGCTGAAAAATAATTTTGCATCAGGGCTTGTGTCTATGCCTGCAAAGCCAATGACTACACAATGGATGAAACGAGCGAGCTATGCAACCACTAAAGTGAAGACATGATGAGATCCATCCGGCCTTTTAGAATTTATTAGATAATTTTTTATTTTTTATTTTTATTTTTTTTGATAAGTAATTTATTAGATAAATTAATTACCGAAAAAAATTATTAGATTGAGATGATAAACAAGTTAGAAAAAGAAGTGTTATAATAATAAACACGAATAAATATATTTTAACTAATATTTCAAGTCGTAGTGTTTAGTGGAAGAAATTTTTATCCGTTTGATGTTGTGGATGAGATTCACACTTAGTACCATCCGTGGCATCAAATAGAGTTTAGTAGTCTATGCTTTATAAATATACATATATATACAGTATCGATTGAGCTTCTTAACATCAAAAGTCTTTCATATAAGGAATTTTGTTGAAAGGACTTCACGAGAAAAAATACGTCTAGGGAGTGCATTTCTTACATTTACTTTAGGTTTTTTTTTTCTTGATAATAATATACCTTATCCTTGACAATTATTGCAAACCTCTAACTAAAAGTGTGAAGGTGACAATGGTGAAAGGCAATAGTGATTATGGAAGAGACAATTAAGATGATGAGTAGAGTACCTGGAGGATTTGCTAACCGTGGTTCAGTGTGTTTACCATTACACACTACTACTGCCTCGAACATATCCACTGAACTCAATCCACTTGTCCTCGACTCAACCACCCATTCATCATTCCTTGACTCAACTCGGACGACTTCAGTATCAAACCGAATCAACTCAGTGAGTCCAAACTCCATCGCAAAATCATTCAAGAACCCCAGAACCTCCTCATGCCCCGGATAATTCCTGGGATCCCCATTTTTCCTAGCAGTAAACGGATAGTCCGAGAAACCCATTACGTGGCGAGGGAGATTGGTCCGGAGTGAATGGTACGCACTGCTGTGAATGATCTCTCTCTTCGGGTCGAGACTGAGTGGGTCGGACTCCACTCGAGGGTCGTAGGCCCATGTTCCACCGAGTCTGCTTCCTTTTTCATAGACGACAACTTGGTGGCCTTCTCTTTGAAATTCACGGGCCGAGATCAGACCGCCAGCACCGGCCCCGATCACCGCCACTTTCACAGACCGTGCCATCTCTGTTACTCTCTATCTATATGTTTGTCTTTGTTTTTTCAAGTGGGTAGTTGTCTCTATATACACACAGACAAACCATTTTCTAATAAGTAGTAGTTGGCAAACAACTTTGGACGGATCACATGTAAGTTGTTTAATATAACCTAAATAATGAAGAACATGCAACGTTACAAATATATATACACACATACATAGAAAAAACTGCTACTTAAATAAATAAGCTATATGAACAGAGACAAACATAAAGAAAGAGAGGGGAACAAGTTGTAATTTGATAAATGAGAATGTCAGTGTCAAATAGCTAAAACGATGTCAAAGAACTTTGGACGGATCACATGTAATTTGTTTAAACTTAATATAGATCGATCCGGATCACGATCCATCCGATCCGAATCGGATAAGCAAAATAAGCAGTCCAATCCGATCCGAGAATCGGACGGATTCATACATAGTCAATCCGAATCCGATACTCACTCTATCGGATATCCGATCCTATAAATCGGATCCGATTGTAAATTATATACCCTCTTGCAATTTACATAAACATAAACAAGCAAAATGGGTTCTGTAATCCCAGATTTGTCAAACAAGTTTCATGTTTTAGAAGTAAAGCCACAACTTTGACACAAAGAACTAAAATCATTATCATAAACAGAAAGAGAGAGGAAAGATGCAAAATTAGGGTTTGTAATAGATAAAAGAATAGGAAAAATAGAAGAAAAATGAGAGAGAATAAGTATTAAGAAATTACTCTGAAAGGTTTCACCAGTGGATCGTTGTGTTCCCCTTCCCTTTCTTGCTGTCGGTTCCCCTTCTTGCCGTCGATCAAAGTCTCCCCCTTCGATTACTTGCGTTTTCCGAAGTATACAGGAGTATTAACACATAGGTTGTGGAGATTTATTACCATGCGGATGAGAACACTGGCCTTATTGTACAATAAGGTTGTGATTACAGCGGTACAAATCTGCGGGTGTATTTATGATATATATATATATATATAATATAATATAATTTTAATCGAATTGGATCAACATAAATTCATATTCGATTTGTTAAGGTATTGAATTATTGGATTTGGATCGTAATCAGGTTATCGAATTTTTTGTTCAATCCAAATATGAATAATCGGATTGGATTCGAATCAGAATCCGATCAATTGACAAATCTACCTATAAATATTACTTTTTAAAACAATTGTGTACCTTTAAAAATTTAAGAGGTGCAATGTAAGTAGTACTTTTTAAAACACACCATTAATTATTATTATTACGGACATATAATTAAAAATATACATATCGGAAATCAACAGCTAGCGTGAGGGGGTGCAGTGTCCCTAATTATTATTATTAGGGACATACCATAATTTATGTATTTGTCTTTGTTTTTTCAAGTGGGTAGTTGTCTCTATATACACACAGACAAACAATTTTCTAATAAGTAAAGCAATGTTTCACGTGGGAAGAGCTGGAAGGCATTGAAGTTGTCCACAATAATGTACCTCGAGAGACGTAAGACTTGAGGGAAGAGCTGGAAGGCATTGAAGTTGTAAAGCAATTTTTACTTGTGTTTTTTCTTTTGTTTTATAGGTTTGTGGTAGGAGATGGTGTGGGTGTGGGGTGTCTTGACACTAATATACGTTACCAAATCGTATGTAACTTTGCAATTTGAGAAATTAAAAGTGTTTGAATTTGTCAACATAAATTGGTGAATGGAGTTATACAGTTGTCCATGTGATCTCTGTTTATCTTGATTGCTATCTTAAAGATTTTTAGCATCTCTGTTAAATTTTTATTTATTTATTTATTTATTTTGGCTAGTTCAAAAGAGGAGTGTCATTTGCCACAAACTCTGTGGATTAGATGATGGCTGCTACTTGCATTAGCATGATTCTATTGCATTTTTACCACCCAGGCTGCTGAGTAAATACTCGAACTTGTTTGTTTTTGTTTATGCTTGCTCTGGATTGCTATGACTCAAATTTTACAGTGAATGAGCTGATTAGAAGAGAGATAAGCAGAGCTGGGCTGGTTATGAAGACATAAGAGCTGCAGTACGAGCAATCTGCCATTTATTGTCTGGACACCAACGTCAAAATTTTGCGGTGTTCTGCTGTAAGAAAATTTCTGTGACATTTTTACTCTAGTGTAAAAAATTTGTGCACCATGTATTATTGACATTTGAATGATTAATTTTGTCAACTTTGAACAGAAACCATTTAGGAACAGTTTCACTGTGCTATTAAATGTACTAGTGGTCAGTCTGGTTAACAGAAACATCTGCTCAAGTTCATTTTGCTGTGTGTATGTGTGTGTAATTTGTATGTCTTTGTCTTCTTCCTCTGTGTGTGTGTGATATGTATGCCTCCTCTTCAAAATTAAAATTTCCTCGCATCTGGGTGACGACATTTTCTCACCTCCTATTTGATTCAGCTCCTATCATTCTTTTCACCATTTTTTGTGTGTAGATGCATGGAATCAACAGCGTGAGGCAACTTGTAGAAGCAATTTTCGGTGATATTGAGAACAGGATGGTTAACTAAGATGGGGACCATAATAAAGTCAATTGATCTTTATTCTTTAATTCTGTTTGCAGTTTGTACTCGGAGCAACTTCTCCGGAGGGAGGCATTCAAAAAGTGAAGAAAGTGTGGAGAATTTTTTGTTAGGCAGTGCATTAGTTTAGCGCTTGAATAAATGTCTGCTAACAATAACATAAGGTCAGTATATGCTCTGATGCAAGCAAAAATGCTCTTCTGCAGCCGGCCTTAACATGTGGTTCTGAGAAGTTGACACTGTTTGGCTTATGGGTTGGATGACATAAGAGGTGGTTGACACTTATATTTGTGGATGTCTTTGAATTGTGTTTACGTTTTACAGTAGAATGGGTCGTGACAAATTTGAAAAAAGAGCCACTCTCTAGCAAAAGTGGAGCTGAGAAAGCCCATGAGGGTTAGGCTAGTGAAGACATTGGGTTCCAAGAGGGACCGATGAGGGTTAGGCTAGTGAAGACATTGGGTCCCAAGAGGGACCGATAGTGACTCTACAGGGAGGAGATGTTGTTGACACTAATATGTGTGAATACCTTTGAACTGTGTAGACACGTTTTGAAAACCGTAGGTACGAAGAGAGTGCAAAGCGAACAATATCTACGGAACGGAACTGTTCGTGATAATTAAAGTCCTCAAAACCATATATTTGGTCCAGTATGTACGTTTGATTGAGAAAGAGAGGTCATCTGATCACATCTTTGGCATGTTGCACTTTTTGCGAATTGCATAACGTAAACCTTATTGTTCAACAACCATGAAAGTGACATTTCCAAGGACACGCATTTCTTTGGCTAAGCTTATTGTCACGATCCGATTCCTAACGACGCCATGAGCATAAAAGATACGCATGCTGGTTGGCTAAGAACATTCATTGACTGGGAATGGTTCCAGGGAAGGGGCGTGCAGGACCACAGGATGGTACCTCTTCAGAGTTCAGGCAGGTCGACTCGGTTCAGTTCGAGGTGCTTGTCGCTGGTCTTGGACTTGACTATGAAGAAGGGAGTTGGCCATCCCTGCACAAACTGGTCGGGAGCTGGAGCCGTTCCCCTGACGAGGCCATGGCAGGCCGAAACCAGTCAGCATGTATCCTTGGGAGGGCAGGTCGTGGTGGCTGACCAGGGCGCTTGCGCGAGCTGAAGCAACGCCTTGGTGCCGCACGGGCCGTGCCGCTGCGCCAAATCTCTAGGCCCGTGACAAATGGTATCAGAGCAGGACTTGGGGAAAAGCACAGAGGTGTGCCCCCTTGTCGATCCGGGGGTCTTGAGAATGAAGACGGTGCACTAAAGCGTCGGTGGGCAATCAATGCTGTTGGAGGAGAGCCTCCATCTCCCCATGAAGACGCGTCCGTTAAGCCGGAGGGCAGCGCGCATCGGATGGCCGGAGGGCCGCGCGCACCAAAGTTCTTGCAAGTTCAAGAGGCGTGCAAACCGTTGTGAAGGGCGGGTATCAAGTTAGCCGGAGGGCGCTTGTTTGCTCGGGGTGTCGCGGAGGCGGCATAACGTGGGGTTGCGTCCCGAAGAAGTGGGCGTCCCTTTAGCCCGAAACCCTATCATTGGGCGAGTGCAGCCAGGGGTTGTACAAGGAAGCGATGGTGGGCAGGCGAGCATACCACTTGGAGGAGACAGGCTTTGGAATGTTGGACGCAGCGGAGTCAGCGCCGCACTGCGACGAGGGCGTCGCAGGATTTGGGTGGGGGAGAATGTCACGATCCGATTCCTAACGACGCCATGAGCATAAAAGATACGCATGCTGGTTGGCTAAGAACATTCATTGACTGGGAATGGTTCCAGGGAAGGGGCGTGCAGGACCACAGGATGGTACCTCTTCAGAGTTCAGGCAGGTCGACTCGGTTCAGTTCGAGGTGCTTGTCGCTGGTCTTGGACTTGACTATGAAGAAGGGAGTTGGCCATCCCTGCACAAACTGGTCGGGAGCTGGAGCCGTTCCCCTGACGAGGCCATGGCAGGCCGAAACCAGTCAGCATGTATCCTTGGGAGGGCAGGTCGTGGTGGCTGACCAGGGCGCTTGCGCGAGCTGAAGCAACGCCTTGGTGCCGCACGGGCCGTGCCGCTGCGCCAAATCTCTAGGCCCGTGACATTATTCTGGTAAAACTTCCATACAAAAACTTGTTTGCAAACAAATGAAAATGAAGTAAAAATGTGTACAGCAATTAAAAATCTTGGTTGCTTATCCAGTTATCGATATCCCATTCGTCCCTGACTCCCTCCAATTGAGAACTAAAAACAAGCTTCCAATGCTGTGCGAATATCCTTTTTACCTTCTCCAGAGGAGGTATTCCCACTTGAGCAGCCAGCCAGTCCATGTACTCAAACTGCCATCAAACCATAAAATCAAAGAAATTATATATATATATATATATATATATATATATATATATATATATATGTTCATGGCTTCATGCATGTGTATATATAGGCATCAATGTCTATAATAAATTTTTTATACTTGTATGTATATAAAATGAAAAATGAGATGAAAACCTGATTTGGATAAATTCGATGGGTATAGTGCTTGGGGATCCCGGATTCTTCCATATGCCGGTAAAGTTTTTCAACATCAGCCAGCATCTCCTCCTTGGATGGCAGAGACACCTTACCGGATAAAACATGCGCTATCCACTTGGATTGTAACTCCATCGTATGAATTATACCGACCTAATTGTAAAATAAAATTCCGGTACATAATTCACCATGAATTTCATAGTAGGTTGGTTAATAGCAACAATAACAAGAGTAACAACTGACCCTAAAAGGTATTCCAACAAAGGAGAGCCAAGGACCAAGCTGGGGTGGGAAGACATGCTTGTAAAGAGGTCCTACTCGGTTGTCATCATCAATGGTCACTATTCCATTTGTGTTAAGAAATGGGAAATGGTAATTGTACCTATATACCAACATATACGAATCATGCATGTACAAGTTTACGTTCAAGAAAACACAAGAAAACAAAAAAACTAATTTAGAATTGATAAATACCCAGTACAGTGAAAAATGACATCTGCTTTAATAGAATATCCGTCTTCAAAGGCTACTGTACTATCTTCATTAACATAATTAATCTGTAACACGATTAAAATTCATTATGTTATATCTTGAAATGCTTTTATTGAAAAAAAAAACAAGATACGCATGATTTTGCATCATGATGTTATTGTAGATTTTAAGAACTTGTTATCTGCAAAGGGTATTCTATAAACATGATCCTGAATCCTCTGTTGTGGTACCTTAGTGTTGTAGCATTTTTCAAAACACTTATTACACCTATTTTCAACACATTTATTTTACATTTTAACGCACTTGCATGTGTTGAAAACAGAGGTAAGTGAGTGTGTTGAAAAACGCAAAGGGTACTATAAACATATGTATGTACGTAT